CAACATCAACATCAACATCATCATGCAACAACATCAGCATACAACAACAATAACAAGAAACCGGCAGCCTCACAGCTGCCAAAGACTCTGTCATCACGCGCCATGCAGCAAAGCTACATGCCGAGGCGGCTCCTTATCTGCCTGTCTATATACTGACCTCACTCGGCGGCAAACATGTTCATAGCCGTTAGCAGAACTGTATCACGAAGTGACATGCAAATGAAGTCAGTGTCGAAGCATTAACTACTTGGTTTCCTGCACGACGCACGACCCTACCTGACGCTACTTTACGCGTTAATTAATTCCTCGCACAAGAACGACCCACAAACGAGCAAATGCCAGCAGATCAGGCGCCTTGCTTTGTGGAGTGAAAATGTGCAGATGACGAACAGGATGCTGCTTTTTTGACACTTGAAAGTTGCCTCAGAGCAGGCCGCCGCACAAAACGACAGGCGTGCGCAGTGGAGGAGACAGTTTTGTCCCGTCCAAAAGCTACAGACGAATATCTGAATGCAGGAAGCTTCGCTAAGAGCGATCAAGAGTGTGAAACTGCTGGAGCGAATGCAAAGCTTCCGGCATCGGACTAATTGCTTCTTTGTACAGTCTCGCTGCAGGTCGAGCATGTAAACAAAGCGACGAACGGCGCATGTGCGATTCGCCACTTCATCCAACCTCGTGTGGCATCGCAGATTGACGCCCAAGCTGAGACTGGAAGAAGGGCAACAGTCGGCCCGCCTCCATGGCCGCGTTGTCCCCTTCGGGCAGCGCCTCAAAAGTGATGCAGCGCCTTTGTCCCGACAACTAAACGACACTGACTCTGAGGTCTCAGGACCTGTCCTTCCACTGGATGCCAAGCGTATTGAGCGGCTTGCGCTCACCATCCACGTAGACATAGCTCATGTTGTTGGAGAGAGAGATGGGGGGTCGCTCTTGCCACACCACAGTCGGATCCCTGGGTGCGGCGAGCCCTGCAACGCCCGCAACCGCGACAGTGAGGCCCGCCGTCGCTTGCACTGGCGCCGGCAGTGCTGGCAGGCTCGGACCAGGTGGGCCGTCCTCTACATCGTCTGTATGACATAAATATTATAGTCTTTGCACACACAGACACACACAAGCAAACGCACCTTCTACAGCATGTCAACATGTACACCACAGATCCCCAAGACAGAGGGACGGACCAGAGGCACGCTCTTCGCTTCTGGCGGTGCCTGCAGGCGATATCTCGCACCAGTCGCTCATGCTTTCCCCTACAATCCCTGGCCTGGCAAGACCTGGCCTGCAGGGTGTCCTCGGTCGATGGTGTTCGTTTTCTGAACAATCCCCCAAAGTCAATGCCGCCTATACTGTGGGCCCATAATTCCTCAATCCAAAAATGTTTACTGTATCACCTCAACAAACACCCGAGAAACAAACCCCACAAATAGATTAAGGATTTTTGTGGCCCGGCCATGCAAGGCCTCAGGTGCAATGCAGAGCTAAGCCAGGTCAAGTATGCTCAGACCGCAACTGAGCCAGACCCGTTTGGGAGCGACAGCCGCAGCCCCACTGGTCTGGTGCCCAATGCTCGCAAAGTCTTTGGAGGCGGTTGCCTTTAGCAACGCCGCTGTCAAGCGGAGGCAAGAGGGCACAGTTTCTCGTGGGCTCCGTGCCGTGCGGACTCACCGAATGGCAATGGCTCCTGATAGCATCTTATTGTACACCAGCATTTTATGATCCGCAAAATATGACACAGCCTGTGAGTGGTTCAGCAAAGAATTCTCTAACAAAGCAAGCCCTCAACAAAGCCTTGCAAGATCAAGTGCACCGGTGGGAAGTTCCTGTAAAGTTTGTCAGTTCCGAGCTCTTGGGCCTTCGGGGGCGAACTCGGACATCCCTTCCGTCCGTGCTGCTTTGAGTCAGAGGCCACATGGTGCCATGCAGGGCCTTTGCTTGCTTCAGAGGCTCAGAAAGTCGACATAGTGCAATCGACACCCCCATGCCCAAAGCCGTTTTGGGCGCGACCCCCTCCGGAAGCTGCTACGTTATTTTGCACTCTGGCACTGGTCGAGTGCTCGTCCTCTGGCCCAACCAGCTGAAAGCAACAGCTCCAAAGCTTCACCAACGAAAGCTGAGCAGTTACATGTGGCAACAACGAGTCCTCATGCGCCTGCCCCCCTGGTAGCTCTGTAGCAAAAGTCATCTGCTTCGTCAAGTTCCTGGAACATGCACCGTGGCACTCACTGGGGCTTGGATTGGTGCAGGTGGCACAGCTTGCAGTGTGCGCAGGAACAGCGAATCTGCAACTACAAGTAGGTCTTCGACACCAGTGCTTCCAGCTTGCGCTTGTGCCTTAGATCGTGCTTCTGGACTTGGTATGATAAGACTGCACAAAGACCCCATTGAGTCTGGGAGTCCGAGGCATGCACCCTTGCCGAACACTGCCCTCCCATTCACTCAGCTCTGACTCGTCGGCATCTGTTTCGTAGCCAGCCTCCGTGGTTGAGACTTCACCATGCATTGTGCCCAAAGCTTGCCTTATCCGTCTTTCCCGTTGTCAATGAAGTTCTGAACAAAAAAAGTGCGTCGCATCGTTTGGGCCAAGGGAACGAAGTTTTGAGCGACCAGTCGCACCGAGCACGGGGGTCCCCTCAACGACGCTTGCCGAGTGAGGAAATCTGTGCGTTCCAGCTCTGCAGGCCCTCACTTGGGTCATGGTGCAACCCCCTCAGTCGGCCTCGTAGCCGCTGTCGTCTGTGTTCGAAGACCAGCCTGCTTCTACGAACACTCTTGGGGCACCATTGGGCAGGGGAAAGAGGCTCCCGGCCCAAGTGCTCACCTGGGCAGACCTGAAATACCAAGAATTCTTAAACATTCACCGTGACAGATATGGAACATCATGGGACTTGGCGGATCTCCTGCTGAGCTGTTCGCCAGGCTTCCACCAGAGGCGCTACGCAGGACACCTGCGTTGACCGCAGGCTGCAGAAGCTCCTCAGGGTCGCAGAGATGTCAGTGTGGGCTTGAAAACTCCGTCTCTTCCCATTTTAGCATCTCCTTCAAGCGACCACGCCTCCGCTTCTCCTGTGCAGGCGGTGACGTCGCACAGGCGCGGGTCTGTACCCAAGGTGTCAATGCACATCCAGGGCCATTGAAACTTAATCATACCTAATCTCGATCCCCATCCATCTAAAGGAAAAACTAAAAAGGTCATGCCAGACGTGGCCGCAACTCTTCCTAAGAACTGAAGACTTAGGTTCACGGCTTCTGGATCTTGATCCGGACTGTAACAACTGAGCAAGTTCACAACAGGAGCATTCAAGGATGCGGCATTGTGTCGCAGGTGGATATCGAAGGTACGGCACACGGCTGTCGAACAGGAAGTCGGTCTGAGAAAGCTTACCTTTCCTGCAGCTGGTCATTTGGAAGTTTTAAGACACGAATTCATTCCTTCCGTCCAAGTGTATTCTCATGCTGTGTCAGTTTCTGCTTGGCACCGGTGCTATTAATGAAGAACGTGCAAGTGCACCGAACTTTTCCACAGACTTCCGTGCGGCTCGCGCTGGGCTTGCTTGTTCTCTATTCAACCTAGCATGATCTAGCATGAATCTGCAGTTGCTCCTCCTGAATCGAGGTGCAGAAGTTAAGAGAAGTTGAGATGGAGTCACACCCCTCATCCTGATACTCACGCATGCCTCCTCGAATCAACTCGGATAAGCGCATCTCACACAGGAATGTCTGTCCATCGAATGATTCTTATCGAGAGCTTCGTTCGCTCCTTGGACAAGCGGCGGTAGCTCCGAGCCATGGAGAGGACCTGAGAGGGACAGACCAAAAAAAGCGCCTCTCGCAGCAAAGACGTGTACCATCGAGTCACAAAAACAGGGGGCCTCAGCTAAGGTCCCCGGAGCATCATTGGGCAACTTATGCCCAAAGAGACAGGCTCTCGTGAAGGGTGCTGTTTTGGCCGACATGCGACTTGTCTTTCCGAAGTTCATAGCCTGGAGCCTCGCGCCAGACCGTGTCCATTTCCGGCCCGTTCATGTATGTCGACCTCCACCTCTATTGTATTACTACTTTCGTCTCCTTACACTTTACTCATGCGCTACGCTACTCTTTATATGGCCCAGTATGTTCCCAACTGCCATGATGTTTTACTTAAGACTTAGTGCTGCACTGCTTACTGCTTTATATTCCATATTCACACTTCTTTATGAGCCTACTACCCTGCCATGTTTTGTACGCTTTCCAGCTCAGTATCTGCTGTTTGCGGGGGTTTGCCATTCCACTATCCAGAATGAAGATCAAGATTAGGATCAACAGCCCGAGTGGGTGCTCAAGAAATGAGCGTGCGTGCCACTCCCCTAAACCGTTTTTTTTACCCGCTTCGCAGTTGGAATCCACCCAGTTCGCAACTTACTACTTGTTTTCATGAACCTTGGACTTTGCTGAGGTACTACTGACAATTTAGGACTGTACCAACCTGCAATTACTTATTCCTTCAGTTTTCGCGTTTACAAGGCACTACTTGCAAAGTGAATGCCTTCCCGGTCTCTGTTTCCTTCTTGTACTGTCTTAGGTCTCACAGTGCACAAGTTTGCCATCTTCTTGGTGTACGCAGGTTCGCCACACCAAGATGCATGCCTTCGCACATCTGCAACGAAAACGTCTGCGACGCTTTACGTACCTCGCACTAGGCCGGATAGGCCGCAAGCGTTTCGGGCCCCAACTCTTGCATGTCGGCCTCCAGGTTTGCTCATCTTCCGCTCTGCCACATTCTGCCACGATTGTGATCATTTGCCGAATCTTTATTTGATATATATTGATTCAGACTTTATGTTTCGGTAGTTCGCCAGTTTCTGCTTGCAATCTATCTCTTCGCAGTGCACAGCTATTTGACATAAATGACGCACCCCTTGTTACTTGACTACTTGCATGTGTAATATCCTCCTTCTCTGTGCTGCCTGTATTTAATACCTTGAAGTAAACGAACACTTCATCGCGATAGTGCTAAGAGGTTACTGATTTTCTGTTTCCTGAAAACAGCACCTTTACCTCCACCTGATTCACACAGATTCCAGCGGGATGACCTTCAAAAGTGAATATCAAGTAACAAGTTGGATGCGGAGGTCAACCTTACTATTTCACCATCTCCCCTTTTTCCTTTCGGCAAAATGCTGCTTCGGTGGCGCACTGCTCTTTTCGGCTTGCTGCTTTCTCGCTGCGCACTAACTGACTATGCCGTGAATATGCACTAGTCTACTCTTTACTCTTTGCCGTGTTATCACACAGTAAATATACCTGTTCTTGGTTGCTTACGATATGGGCATGTCACATAAACATTATCTTTCTTACTTGTACTGTCTACTATCGTGTCTACTATGCATGTCTTTACCACTTGACTGTTTGATGATTAAGATTAACTCACTATTCATGATAGGGTTTGCCCATTTACTGCTATATGTTGATATGTGGCTTTTCTGGGATATGAACAAACAATAGAGCAGAACAAATTTGTCGAGCATCACAACGCATCCCATGGCCTTCCAGACCCGAGTGTGCCCATGCTCGTTCCCTTCTCGAGGGCCTGGTTCTCGGAACTTTCGCTCGTGTCAGCCCCCCTTTCCGTCTGGCCCACTCCTCTTTGGGTGTCCACAACTGTCCACAGCTGCGGGCAACTCCTCGTCTTGGTCACTCCTTTTGAGGGTCACGGCTGCAAGCCATTCCGGTCTTTCTGTCTGGCCCACTCCTTTCCGGGCTTACTGCTCCTTAGGGTTCAATGCGGGGAGTTTTCTCCTTTCGGGCTTCGCGTGCATGTCGGATTTAAGGTTGAGCAGGGGTTTACAGTTCAAGGGAGGGTTAAGGTTTGAGGGAATGGGAATGCGGTTTGGAGGGTGAAGGGCTGGGAGTTCAAGTGGTTTAAGGCCTTGGTTGGTTCAGGGGTGGAGCTTGCGGGGGTTATGGCTCTCACGGGGTTGACGGCTGGGACCACTCACTGCCCACTCTGTTTCGTTCTGGCAGCTCCTGTTAGGGGTCACCGCCATGGCCCCACGTCCTGGATACTGGGGTATCCCCGTTCACGGTAGGACCTCACTCTGAAGTTTAGGATCAGACACTCCTGTCGGAGCGTTCACGGTTTAGGGAGCTTGCGTTCTTTTTCGGATTCAGGTGGCACGTCTCCTTTTGTGATGTTGGGGAGTGTCAAAGTCTGAAGCCTAGGGGGTTTTATGTCCGTTTATAGATTAGGTTAGGGTTTGGGGGATTTAGGGCTTGGGCTTGGCTGAGGCAAACTCCTCGTCACTCTTTTGACACCCACTCAATTTAATTTGTGGGTTTAAGCTTATGTAAGGTTTGGGATGGTTTAGAAGGAGTTCAAGGCTTGGGAGTGGTTGGGGTTTGGGCTTCAGAGGGCTTTGGATGTAGGGTTGAAGCAGTTACGGTTAAGGCGGTTAAGAGGCCTTGGGGGGTTTTGCTGGGAGAGTGCAACTTTAAATCGCCCTCTAACGTGACACTGAGACTGTACTCAAGAAAGTGTACCAAAGGATGTATGCAAAGATTAAACCGGTTGGGGAGGCCTGAGATCCAAACAAACCCATTCAACAAACGACGAGCTCCCAAGCATCACTTCAGAAGCCGTTCGGCAGCTTCCGCTAAAACTCCCAGCAAACGGAGCCAGGCAATCAATGGACGTTGAATGGCCAACAAGAGCTTCCGTCTTGGATGCCGGCCCAGCTGGACGAGGAACCCGCGCCTGGCTTGATCTGCGCCTCTCAAGACAAGCATAACTTGCTTCTGCTTGGTTCTCCTCACGCCTTTGCAGCCATGGTCTCATAGAACCGCCTGGCGGACAGACGCGTGCGGCCCTTGCGGCATCATGCCAATCGGTCTGAACACTGGCGGGAGCGCTCGAGCCCCGGCAAGGCCGACCTCGGCCACAGGCCACAAAATGCTTCACGCTGCGCTCTTCTGAATCTCCTCTCTTCCGCTCCGCAGAGCGTGAACTAGGCCCACGGCTGCAAGTTTTCGTCCTCGGTATCTTCGATGTTGACAGACGACTCGCTGGGACCTGTTGATTGAAGTCAACGAACCTCCCTTCTCACCCTCCCAGGGAAGAGGAGGGAAAAGGCAGTGGCCTTCAGATACGTAGCCCTCTCGCAGGCACCTTCTCTTTTCGGCGCCGATTGCCAAGGCCTGGGCTTGGCCAAAAGAGCCCGTGATCACAAGGAGACGGACGCTTGTGCTGCACGACCAACACGGTTGCTTCATGCAGACAGGCCGGCTGCAGATCTCAGAAATGGTGATGGTTCTGCGAAAGCAGGAACCTCCGGGACTCCGAGAGGCGGTTTGACTTTGGAATATTTTGGAAGGTATCGGTACAGGCACAACCTGCGACAATCTCGAATCTGTCTTCTCTGTCGCTGCTTTTGCGCCCGAACCTGCCTCTGGCCAGCCATCTTTCTTGGGCGGATGTGTTTGGCCTCAGTGTGCAACCGACGAGATGCAAAGCTGGACTTCATGGCTTGGGGTTTATGGACACGTGCTCCATCGAACACATCGATGGGCTTGTGCCGACGAAGCTGTGCAGCGCGCTTAATCCTGTAGATGAAGCTGCCTTTTGGACGCTCAATCCTGAGGATGGAGCTGCCTCGCATCAAATGTTTTGAGAACCCTTGCCCTCTGACTCTTACCCTCATCGACTTTGAGGCTGTGCCCCGGCCTCACCCATCTGCCCATCATGCGCTGTTCATGCATGCTATGCTGGCACAAGACATTGCGATGCCATCCTAGAATCCTACCACCTCCACGAGCTGTCAACAGCTAGGCAAGCTCTTGGGATGAGTCAGGTGTGGCACTGTACTGGCACTGTCCGGCAATGTGCTGAACCTGGTCGCAAAGGATATGGTGGGTATCGGGTATCGGTATGGAAAACATCCCCTACTGAGCGGAACTCGACCAGTTTGAGCCACGCGTTCAAGTCCTTCTGCATCCAGGGCCGAATTCGATACCTTGCGCTCGTTTGCCTGAAGGCATGCCAACCACATGATGATGCATTCTGCTTTTGAAGCATGCCTGCAGCATGGTCGGAAGGTCGATGCACATTAAGCCGATGCTGTGCCGGCTAAATCTTCTTGCATGCAGCAAGCAACCGTCCGACCATCCAGCAATCACCTCATCACCGCCTGGGTGTAGGTCGCGAAGCATTGTCAGGCCATCCTGGCTGAATACGGGTCCCAACCATCATGCCTTCCAGATTTAGGGACCTGCTTATTCTGAGCTAGGCGTAAGGGTGTTTCAATTCGGAACCGGTCAAGCATGTACGAGAGCCCAAAGCCTCAACAGAACTAGACTTTAGACAATTAGATGCCCTTCGATTTGGACTCGAAGTGTCTTATGACATCTTATGACCATTCCCAATCTCAGCCTCACCGCTCGCTGATCAGCTAAAGGCCTCCAGCGGGGAGCCTCGGAGCCGGGCCAATGCCGGACCCAAACGACTCCAGCTCGGACCCTCGCTCGGCAACCAGACATCCGTTCGGCGGTCGCTGCGCCTCCGACTCAGGGCTAGATTGGCTAGATTCGTCTATCGATGCTACACCGCTGCTACACCTGATGCACCTGTTCTCTCTCTATGAAGCCATGAAGCCTCGACCCTGCGAAGCAATTCCACCATCGCGGTGTTGCACCGGCAGCATACTCTTCACGAACTACGGCGAATGCCGCTGATCTATGCCGGCTCAATTAAACTCATATTACGACCAGACAGAGCATAAAACACCCATCAGTCACCTCTTTCCAAGGTTTCTGGCTGGCATTGGAACTTATTGCGCTGGCTCATTCTTAATTATGCTTGACATCTGCTTGGGTCCTCGATGCGTCCGGTCACCGCAGCCAGCTCAGCCCTGAGGGCTGCCGCCTCGCCCGGAAGGTGAGCGAAGCTAACCCATGCACTACACTGTATTGCACGCTGGGTTTCGGATACTTGCTCTGCTCTCCGCACTGCTCAACCTTGCCCAGGAGCTACGAGTACCCGCAGCACCGCCTGCGTGTTGGCCGTCTCAGCCGCTTGTCGAGCCGCGACCACTTCCAGCATTGTAGCATCGAGTCGTCGTGCCAACTGTGCACGCCTGGCATTGGCACTTCTCACTTTACTCTGCTCAGTTTCCCTTTCGTTGCACAATTCAGTCGGGCATGCAACTCCACCACCTGCCAGGGCTGTATGCAAATGAATCAATTAAGGAGATAGCTATAAGAACAAACAACCTACATGCCCCAGCCGGCATTTAGCTCGTGACTGAAGACCAGACGAGCAAATAGGATCGGCTGCCACTTCGTGATCCGCGCGAGGGTGTGGAGACAACATCACCAAGAGAGTTCGCGTTTGGAAGAAAGGCGCGCAGAGCAAAAGACTAAAGATGCGACATACGACGCTTGCAATGAGACGAAAGACGAAGAAAGAGAAGCCAACCAGCGGAAACACAAAGACCTTCATGCAAGCGAAAGGGGCGCCTCATGCTCCAAACGGGAACACCTGGCTCGCAGTGCTTCTGCCTCCTGGCCTTCAGTGAAAGATTCGTTGCATTGCGTTTACTGCAACAACCAGCTCCCCTCACCAGGCAAGTCGCCAGCCATGGCCGCCTGACGAAGCCCGAAAGGGGCAGTGCTCTGTCTCCCTACGAATTCCACAACGGCATTCGGCTCACGGGACGACAGTGAAAGGCAATGGAAGCGAGTGGTGATTGTGGTTGTCCAGTGGGCCTACCACACTCAGTTCTGTCTGCATCAGTCGTCAGTCGTACAGAGTGCTTATGTTGTGGCCTCTTGTTGAAGAGGTCGCCGTGCCAGACCCTCGCAGAGTGGGCTTATGAAGTCTAAGTGAGGTATCCAGCCCACTGAACTCGTTGTGACTGCCGCCTCCTGCAGGTATTCCTCAAAGTCACCTGATCCGTGGCTGTCATCGGACTGGGCATCATGCAGACGGCACACTGAGCATCAGTCTCATCCACTCGCAATCATTCTGTTTAGCAACAGCAGCAGCCACCGCAGCCGCTGCTGCAGCTGCCCTTGGTGTCTGCTATCCTTTTGACACTTCCAATAGCAGCAAGCAAGAAACGAGCAGGCAAATACTTGGAGCGAAGCCCCGTTCCAGAGTGGCCGTTGGACTCCAACACAAGGGCCAGTCGTGCCAAAGATTTGACCTTGCAAGTTTTTGCATCCCAGTTCAGTCCGGGGACGCCTCTGAGACCCTGCCCACGGGCCCAGGGCAAAGGAGGGAGCCGACTGGGACTCCGTGGTTTGAGGAGGTGGTGAGCCTCTTCGCCAGCTTCTCCACGGCTCTGGCGCAGAATGCTCACAGCAGGGCCTGTGCTGCCTGCCTTTTCAGGCGGCGCAACCTGTCCAGAGAACACCGGCACCGGCAACATGCTGGCTCGGTTCACTGGCACTGCCTGGACAAAAAAGTGTCCCATTGCCTCTTACCTTCTTGGGTTTTTGGGCGCCTGCATGGGCGCGGCCATTGGAGGCCTGGCCTGGTTTCCGCGTGGCTTCAGACAAGAGCAGGTGGGATGGGAGCAGCTCTTTGGGCGGCTTGAAGTGACGAGATGGCTCATTCGCAGAGGGAATAGCATGACACGAATCCTGCCATGGTACCTCAGAAGGACAATGGAAACTGCACACCCACATACACCGACCAGACCAACATCGCGAGAATGACTGTGACTACAGAGTTCAAAACTGAAAGTCGGGATGTTAGCTCCCACTGTTGAGCTTTGCTTCTGAGGCTACAGTACACCGAATCCGGATTCAGATATCGCGCAGGTCGAATCACCTCGCAGCATGCAGCGGTGAGCCCCTCCGACCAAGCCGTAAGCAAGACTCTTGAAATTGTAGGCCCTGAATCCCAACCCCCGCCGCCCAAGCTATGCAGCCTCGAGACCATCATCAAAATGGCATGCCGCAAAACCACAAATCACTCCCGAGGTGTGCTTTTCGAAAGCATATGCATGTTGAATCGCCTGCTTCAGGAGAAACTGTGTTTCAAGACTTTTGAGTCTGGGCAGGCTCCAGGTTTGGAGCTAAAGCACGATTTATCGGACTGCCCTCGTTGCCCTGCAATGGCCCTTCATGGCGAACTTCGCAAGGTATTCTGGACGGCTTCTGTCATCATTTTACTCTCGAGTCTACTTTTTTTCTGAATCCAAGAGCTTTGCCGTTACTACTATCATCGTAAACACTCGGTTTAAACTGCTCCATAAACAGCTCTGGAACTGCGACATTCTTGCGTGCCAAAGAACGCGAGGTGGCTCCGGTGATCGGCTTGCCTCTCTTGCAGCTCCTCACAAACAAAAGGTCTGCATGCGAGAATGCGTAAGAATCGCACTCTCCTTTCTTTCGCTGCGGAGACGCTCGTCGTGGCTTCGCGCCTCCTTCAGATTGCAGCTCGAGCAGCAGTCGATGGACATGCTGCAAAGCCCAGCACCTGCTCTGTCTTGTGGGGATGAATTCCGCACAGGAGAATCTCGTCGCGTTGTGGCTGAAACCTGCAGTGCAACAGCATAGAACCAAGGACTCTCCGTGCAGCGATAGTGCATGCTAGTGCGGCTTACAGACAGAACTAGAATCGCCCGGGCCTTGTTCGCTTCCGCCACAGCAGGGCCTGGACGTCAAAGTCTTCATGTAAGAGCCACGGAGTGCTGCACAGCTCGCGCCTGCAGATCTTCCTGCAGATCTTGCGCGTCTGACAGGTTGCATTAAGTCCTGAAGCAGATCACTGCAACATGCCGCCTCAAGCAAGATATTGCAAGTCTGAGCGCAATGTGCGCGACATCATGTCTTGGGCTCACCTCACGCCCTTGCTGAGGAGGGCTGCAGCCTGCAATCTTTCCCCGAGATTAGATGAAACTTGCTTGGATCTGTTGCTTGCGGAGGTCGAACTCGGGCGCTACTCTCGTTAAAGTTCCCATCAAGCCATGATAGCCTGATGCACCCTGCCACGAGGACGGAGCATTCCTGCGACCATTTTCGACTCTTGCACGACTCCGGGCTGCGGAAGGGAGTTTTTGGTGCAGACGAGAAGCAATTCTTGGCGCGGCAAGGTTGGAGACGACCCGGGCGAAACCAATGCCTTGCCTCCTTCCACACTGAGATGCATACCAGCATGCATGATGACACCGAGCGCGTGTCGTCCTGCCGTCCAACTACTATTCTGCCCGTGCGATTTGTTTTTTCGGCTAGCCGACATGGCAGATCAGGTATGGCGCATGCCATCTGCGCTGGGGGCCACAAGGGCCGCAGCCCCCTTTTCAGGGGCACCCGGAAGACACATCCAACCCGCCAGGGCTCAGGCAGCTCTCTGACTGGGTTTGGAAGCAATGCCGCAGAGCAGCCCCAGGGATCTTACCAACTCGCGCAGAGTTTCACTCTGGGACACGAAGATGGAACTTTTGCTAACGGTACGAACGCGATCAGACCAGCACAATGTGGTGTGAGGCATTCGTCACTGCGGGAGCGGAAAATAAGTAAACCTGACCAAGATGCTGAGATTCAGTCTTGCAGAAGACCAAAACCGAGACTAGTGCTCCGCAGGCTCTCGCCGTGTCTCTATCTCTTGTTCCAATCTGTGAGCGCGTTGCAAACTTCTATGTTTGCTGGTGTTCGATCGTCGTTCTGGGACTTTGTATTCTTGTCGGAATGCTTGCACATCTCTTCTTTCTTGTGAATGCGCGTGCTTGCCTGCTCGTCGTTGTCTCGCTGCCTCTGAGCCCGCCTGCACCGGATTGCCTGTGCTTATCTCCTATTAATGTGCATGAACGGCAATGGTCTTCTTCTGCCCATTCAAGCATCCACGGAACTTGAATGTGTGCGTGTACATGTGCGTGTGTGTGTTCGTGAATGTGTGTCTGTGTGTGTGTCTCTGTGCCTGTGTCTGTCTGTGTGTGTGTGTGCGTGCTTGTGTGTGTGTGTGTTTTTGTGTGCTGGTGTGTGTGTGTGTGTGTTTGTGTGTGTGTGTGCGTGTGTGTGTTTGTGTGTGTGTGTTTGTGTGTGTGTGTGTTGGTTGGTGTGTGTGTGTGTATGTGTGTGTGTGTTGCGCGGAACCCTGTTGCCAACGGATAGGACTTCGATGCATCTCATCTGTTGCTCAATGATTTTAAGCAGGGGCAACAGGGAGTCCACAGTTCTGTTGCCAACGAAGACGGCTGTGGCGTGAAGCAGATTTAGACACCAATCTGTGTGCCTGCAATAGAGTGTTCTGCATTTTTTCATTTATTATATGATGGGGCAAAGCCAAGAACCCCAATTCTTAGTGTTAGTCGTTTCCAGCGCTCGAAATATTTACCGCGTTCAGATATGAAGTCGAATCAGAGGGAGGATGCACGAGTGCGTAATTAGACGGACGGTTCGGAACCCTGATCGGTTCCCTTTCTGCATTAGCCCTGATCGGCGCCGTGTTTCTGAACCCTGATCGTTTCACTAGAGGGATGTGTGTGCTCGATACAGCACAGCTACGATTGAGCGATTGACTGCTACGATGGCTCATTCTGTGTCGCTTTGCCGAGAGCAATGCACCTGATCAACCTTGAGACCCTGTGCCCAACAAGGAACCGTTGAAGCCTTAGCTGTTCTATCCGCCCACCGATCTCCTCAGTTGAGAAGCCATGTCTGACTGGTACGGCAAGAATTGGAATGACCGTTCAAGCAATTGGCAGCACCAACAGAGCTGGACTTCGGATGACTGGCAAAACTGGCTTAACAGTGGCGATTCTTTTCGAAGCCTCCATCGCTACCTTCTTCCGCAACACCTACAAGCCCGCTGCCAACTCTTCCAGTGTCATTTCATTCTGACGAGAAGTTTTGGGATCGTCAGCCAGTAGGTAAACAAGGCTTGGCGGGACGTCCCATAGAGGACATTCAGGCATATGAATTCTTCCAAAGAGGCCTTTCCGAGTTTTCATTTCGTCTTTTGAGTGAAGGACGGTACCAAGTATCCGCATCGGAAGCCGTTTTCACGACTCAATTTCTGAAAAAGAACCAGAGAGTTGGATCTCGACATTGACGAAGTAGCTCGAACCTGTTTTACGGATGAAATTCCAGACAACCACAGGGATGCCACCAAATTCATGCAAAAACTATCGTCAGATTCGGTGGAACACATGAAAGCCAAGCTTCCAGGAAAGCCTTCCACTGATGAATCTGAAGCTCTGGCCAAAGCCAAAGCCAAGCTTGCAGCTCATGGTCTAGCACTGACCCCTGATAACAGGGATGCTCAGTCTAGCGCTCGGATTCGAATCCCAAGCCTCCCAAAGAGAGCGAAATTCTTCGCCCACAGGAAACGGCTGATCAGCATCTTCAAGACTGGCTTCAATAATTGAAGTCCAAGCTAGCTTTTAAGGGTAAGTTCACCAGGCTGAGAAAGCGTGTGGCTACCGTCCAAGAACTTTTCAAGCAAGGTCACTCCAAACAGGAGTTGACATCGGCAGCTGTGAAAGGGCTTGATGAGAAGTTTGCAGCCCGTTTGACACTCAAAAGCTTCTCCATGGTGATTGCTGCTGCGCAATTCGAAGCTTCGGAACTCGCGTACGACGCATTGCAGATGAAAAGCCAGCAGGCATCATCAGAAACATTTGAAAGAGCAAATCTGCAACCTTGGAGAGGCTTGCGCCTTCTTTATTCGCCACTGCCCCGACTTTCCGAAATCGTCGATGATTTGGTCTCAGGGACTTTCTTCACCTAGGTCTTTGATTCCTCTTTAGCGACTCTGCACAAAAATCCAATGCAAAGCTCCTCCGGAGGAAACTCCGATCAATGCACATTCATCCTGCGATGTACACATGGCCTCGACTTCAACGGCCAAATGCTGTTTAAAAGAAATCAGTTGTGGACGGGTGCCTTTTTAAGTCTGTTGAACATTATCGGCAGCCGGCAGCTTTTTACTTACATGTATGTTGGATCTATATCCATCGCTGCGGCAGAATCCAACAGGATGTCTACTCTCCGACAACTTTCGCAAGGCCGTGACAATCAGGCAGAACTTGCGATTCGATATTGGCATAGTTCGGGTACATTTGAGTCTTATTCCACGTCTTAAGCTGCAACGTGTGACACATATCGCCAAGCATGGATCTTGGTGCACACGCTCATAGATTCTTGGCAGCCAAAGCTCAATTACCCCTTTATAACAACGCGCCTTCAAAGGACTGCAGTAGGATTTCGAGCCAACACAAAGACAGGCCGGAATTCCTATTCCAAGTTTGGTCGTAGGCTTTGGATCAAGCTCAGAAAGAAGCTTTATCGAACCCAGCACCTTGAGGAGCTATATGAGCTGAGACGTCTTAGCAACAATCTTGAAGAGCCTAGTCGCAGCAAAGTGCGCCAGCTTCTAAAGGCAGCATGCAAGGTGCGGAACATGACATGGCCCAAAGGAGCCATGGGGCTCCAAATCCAGTCAAGAACCTGAAGGAGCCTCTCCTCAACAAAAATGGGAAGACTGGCTCACCCACAACCTTTCCACAGAGCTACCCTATTGCTGCCAGGAGTTTCGAGAACTTCTGTCTGAGGAATGCTTTGTAGATGGACATGCGGTGACAGATTTTTGAAAACCTATCACCCATCCATCCAGCTTGTGCCTTCTGGAAGCGCAGTTTCTTCCTTCGAGGGGCACGTTCCTCAACAACAATGGCCACCAGTTTGAGAGACGGCGATGCAAGCGTGGCTTACCTGCTGAATGAACCGAGTCGTTCAATCAAATGTTACAGAAGGAATGGCATTTGCATGTGTTTGAAGTAGAGAAGCGACCCAGGCTCACCTGGTGTTCCACCCTGGGTTCTATTCCCGAGCCGCACTGAACACCTGGCAAGACCCTGAAGTGTGCCCTCAATATTACCCGGATTGGGTGACTCAGCAAATACCAAAAGCCGTGCCATTAATTTCAAGGCCAATCTTCCAACATGCTTCGTGTTTTTGAAGCGAAAGAAAGGTTTTCGCAAAGGTCGCACGATCATATCATACGCTGCTTCGCCGTTTCGACGACTGCTGCAAGCAAGCAATCATGTTGATGATCAGAATGGTTTGGGACACATAGTTCGGACTTCAGTCAATACCACAATTGTGGTCTTCACAACTTTTCCAATGCAATCCTAGAGAAGTGCACCCAAATGAAGCCAATGATGACATCGTTGGATTCTGTAATTCTGTACCACGTCAGCAAACTTCGACACCGCTTGATACCTTGATTGAACAATGTATTGATCAAGGTTATCCAGGTGATATTACTCATTTCAAACAGCAGCGCGACATGGAAGCTGCTTGGCCCGGAAAACCCCAGGCACGTCACTCTCGCAAGTTAAATCTGTCGCGGGTGATGCGCAAGCCATTGTACAGCTATCATTCGGCGCAGGAGTTTTTCATGCTGCTGGACGGGTCTTGCATCAGCATCGAGGCACGTGTATAGGAAATCAAATCAGTCCAGTGCTGAGTGGACTCCCTGTCACACAAAGAGCGCTTGCGTGGTACACAGAGAGGAACACTCAGCTCGACCAATTTATCATACTCACGAAAGTCATCTTTGTCGTTTCCACCCACTAGTCCATTCGCCGTCACCAGGCCGGCGATGGGCGGTGAGGGCCTGCTCTGCCAGGATAGATGTTGTTTGGCTTTTTGGCACAATTGCATGAAGCAGATTATATGCTTCAGTAAAAGGAAACATCAATTCCTGATCCTCAGGCAGCTTCCAAGCCTGGCAACGTTGCTGCCTCTCCTCTTGCTCTTGAAGACATTTGGGGTGACTGGCCAAGATTTTCAACAGAATCAGGAAAGGAGGACTCACTACTGACTGCACGCGGACACACTTTTGGCAGCAAGTAGCCCGACTGTTGGCAGAGCCCAGCCTGCCTGTCGGTCCAAGAACTGTAGATGCAGAGAGGCACACTTGGGCGCAACAAGTCAGCTGCGGCAGATCAGCAGCCGGCAGCGCAGCCAGAGAAGGCAAAGCAACAAGCTGATACTTCGCATGA